GCGACGGCCAGCGAGACCAGGAAGTGGTTGGTCACCACGGCGCGCAGCTTCCGGTCCCGCAGGATGACGGTGCAGATGAAGAGGTTGCCCGCGATGGACAGCACGGCCGTGGCGCTCTCCGTCAGGAAATATGGCACATCCAGGCCGGGCGAGCTCCCGTTCGAGGCCCCCAGGTGGGGTGGAGCAGGGATGGACGGGAAGGACCAATTGGGGAAAGTGTCCAGGGTAGCTGGGACTCCGGTCATGTCATTCCAGGCTCCTCGCGGGGCCCTCAGCGCCCCCGAGTCTCCGTGCTCCATCTGGGCAGCTGCAAGGAGGAAAACCAGAGCTCAGTCTATGGCCAACCCGTGCCAGGGGGCTGGGCTACGGGGGCTGAACTCTGCCGGTCGATTGGGTAAGGAGGCAGCTCCAGTCTGACCTGACCTGTGGTCTGCACATCACGCCAGAGGATCTGGTGGGCCCCAGCAATCTAGGACAGTGGTGCGCAACCTTTTTTGATCTGCAACCCCCACGCTGTAGGGACCGCCAACTGCCAGGCCCAGCCTCCATCCGGCCGGATCTAAGCACCGTGTGTCCACACCTAGCCCCCACCCAGCTGGTTCTAAGTCTCACGACCCCTTGGGAAGACATCTGTGACCCCCCTGGGGGGTCGTGACCCATGGGTTGCGCACACTGGTCTAGGACAGTGGTGTTTCTCAACCGGTGGTACAAGTACATCAACACAACTGAAAATTGGAGAAAACTGAATGTATGTTGTAAGCTTTACGGCGCTTTGTTAGTTTTGTCCTTTTTACACCCAAACATTTCATCGCCCGCCCGGCTCCGATTAAGTTGTTTGAACAAATACGTTGCAAAGGTAGAAAAAAAAACGTGTCTGAAAACTGTAGGTACTGGGGGTACTTTATTAAGAAAGGTTGAGAGACACTGAGCTAGGAAAGGGAGCTGGAGAAGGCCCCGTTCTCCTGCTCCTGAGAGCTAAGGCCCCGAGGTGCGGGAGTCAGAGGGACACTGGATGACCCCACCCTGTGTGCAGTAGCTATCGAGGGGCTGTGCCCACACCCAGCAGGCAACCCCTTATTCCCGGATCATAGTTTGAGGCTGCGGCTTCCATTAACAGGGAGGGAGCCGCTGGCCTGGCTCCTCCGTCCCTGGCAGTTTTCTCGAGCCAGGTGAGCTGTTAGTCAATACGATCTCTAGCTCAGCTGGGAATTAATCCGGTGGCGCCCCATGGCCTGGGTCACCCAGGAGTCAGCCTAGACCAGCCGGGCAACCCAGGCTCATGAGTGGCCTCCATCTCAATGGGCCGCAAGGCGGTGGGAACCCAGGGGGTCTCCCGGGGCAGGGCGGTATGCTCAGGGAGCTGGTGTGTCTGGAATGTGCAGGGTGCCAATGGAACCGTGGCAGCGCTGTGATTGGCTGCAGAGGGAGCGCCCGGCTCTCACAGGCAGTGCTGTGATTGGCTGCCATGGGAGTGCCCGGCTCTCACAGGCAGTGCTGTGATTGGCTGCCGCGGGAGCACCCGGCTCTCACGGGCAGCGCTGTGATTGGCTGCCGCGGGAGCACCCGGCTCTCACGGGCAGCGCTGTGATTGGCTGCCGAGGGAGCACCCGGCTCTCAAAGGCAGCACTGTGATTGGCTGCCGAGGGAGCACCCGGCTCTCACAGGCAGCGCTGTGATTGGCTGCAGTGGGAGCGCCCAGCTCTCACAGGCAGCGCTGTGATTGGCTGCAGAGGGAGCGCCCGGCTCTCACAGGCAGCCCTGTGATTGGCTGCCGAGGGAGCACCCGGCTCTCACAGGCAGCGCTGTGATTGGCTGCAGAGGGAGCACCCGGCTCTCACAGGCAGCGCTGTGATTGGCTGCAGTGGGAGCGCCCAGCTCTCACAGGCAGCGCTGTGATTGGCTGCAGAGGGAGCGCCCGGCTCTCACAGGCAGCCCTGTGATTGGCTGCCGAGGGAGCACCCGGCTCTCAAAAGCAGCACTGTGATTGGCTGGCCGGGGGGGCCCCGGCGCCTCCAGCGCA